TTAGAACAAAAAATTATAGATCAAATTTTCGTTCAATATCAAACAAAGATTCTAAAATAAGAAAAAATTCCAAAAATAAGAAAATAAGAAACGAGGCAGAAAAAAGTCTCAAAATAAGACTTTTTCTGTTAAAATCAGACGATCTGGGATCCCTGCTCCACAGACAGTCCTTGATGGAAAATTTTTATCACTTACATTGCGTGTTTGATCGCGTTGTTGTCAACGGTTGGTTATAAAGGACAGTATGCGTTCCCACAAAAAGGATTAAGTTTTCTGTTCAACAAAATGGTATAAAAACATCATGAGATATCATAATTGTACAAATTGGATTTTATTTTATTTTAATTTGTTGAATAATTAGAAATACAAAACATACTTCCAAGTCTTACACATTATTGGCAGTTTTTATGTCAGTTCGGCCTACGAGCCAATTAAATCTAGTTTGAACTAAGTCAATCTGAAGTTTCAATGTTGATTTGATGAAACTGGTTTTTAATCGATCACAGAAACGTTCCATGGTTCAAGTTCAGATTCCAAATTGAAACTAGAATACCCATCATTATAGTACTCCTCTTTTTGTACCGGTTAGTATCTAGTACTAAAATCCAAACATTTTCTGCACAGACTAGTATTTTATCTATATTTTCTTCATCTATGGTTTCTTAAACTATCATAAATCATCACGATTATATATTCCAGATCAATGTTTGTAGCTGTAGTAGTAAAAAGTCTCGTACGCAGCTAAAGTCAATGAAGCGTCATAGTATGAACAATCGATATTTTCAACCGTTATGCACATGGTTGAAGTCGAGTGGAAAAATGTTAAATGTTTAATGCTAGCTTAGTTTGATGGAAACCCACGGTGATTGAACTTTTACATTCGTTAAAAATATGAGATACATACGAGTAGATATATTTAGCATCGTTCAGAGTGGTAATACTCTACCTAATTCAAAAAGATTATTAGTAATAAAACAAATGACCACAATGATAGAGTTGGATATGTTATTGTCGTTCCTGTTGAACCTAGAAATAGTTGAGAATTAAATTCATTTTTATATTGTTTTTGTATATTTTGTATAGTTGATATTGTATTACAATTTGGTTGATTATTACAACGAATTTCAGTTTCAGTTGTAATTTGAATATTGGCATCTAATATATAAATCGTACGATCTGAATAACTAAATATTGGTGATACATTGCATCCAGCACAGAAATCAAGTGTAGCACCATTGTTGGTAGTTTTCATTTTTGTTACACATGATGAACATTGTGTTATATTAGCAGAAAGAATTTCACATTCATAATCTAATTCAGTTTTATTGTTATAGAATAAACAGGATGATAATGGTAGAGGTGGTGTAAGAAATGGTTGAATTATAGTTGATGTAAATGTTGTTGTTGTTGTTGCTTGTAATAATAATTTTAATTTCGATGGATCATTACACCGATCAGTATAACAGTAATAGTAAACACCACTGTAGATACCAAAATAGGGCGTCAAATAGCTAACATATGTTCCAACACTATCTTTTCTACTTGTATTTTGGCCTATATTACTGTCGCTGATATGAATTTTAGTAACATTCTGTTGCTGAGTCCACCATATTTGTATATTACAATTATCTTTTTCAGTTGAAACAATAGTACAATTATCAAAATTTAATAGACTATTTTCATTAATTATGTACGGATATGAATTCTCACCGCTCTCTGTGCAACGATAACATTCGCGTGAAGAAATATGTTGGATTTTGAACAGGAATAAGATCGAAAATGATACGAATAAAAATGCTAGAGACATGTTTTTTTTCTTCGTGTTTCTTCGTTTTGAGGACTTCAATATACAAAATATTCAGAAAAGAAATGCTGTTATCACTACTTGAGTTATCTTTGTATAAGAAAGAATAACAAAGACGCAAAAGAAATTCTTAATTGCGCAAACAAGTGGAAAAAAATCACCATATCGGTAAATACGCTGTTTCTGCTCTTAATCAATTATTATTCGAGATAAAATATTACTAAGTATATATACTATTACATATACTATTACTAAGTATATATACTATTACATATATTATTACAGCAAATAACAAAACACTAAACTCTACAAAAAAAGTATAATTACCTTAGTGATGATATTCAAGGCTTTTTTCCTTAAGTGAACACAAAGAATTGAGAAAGGATTGGAATTTCTAAATTTAGCACACGTTGCATCAAGACGCGATTCTTATTTTTTAACAAAAATGTGACTATTGATAAGATGCAGAAAATTCATAATCATACACATATTTTTTCTGTTTCTTGTGTACATGGTTGGAGAGAGAGTACCAACGTAACTATGAAAAAATAGTTTTTAGCTTTTAAAAAAATATTCGTGATGGAAAAAAATTCAAAATGGCGGAATACTCCATTTTCGGGCAAAACACGTCTATTTTGAAAATTCTACTGTTAGTTTCACACGAGGAATAAGAAAAAATTAGTTTAGAGGACTGAAAATATCGACAAAACAAAAATTTGGCATATTTTTCAAAATAATGAATTTTTGAATTTTGAATTTTGAATATTTTCCCACCACGGATATTTTTGAAAAGCTGAAAACTATTTTTTTATAGTTACTTTGGTACCTTCTCGCCAACCATGTACAAAAGAAACAAAATAAATATGTTATATATCCATATGAATTTCCTGCACCTTACCAAAAAAAGTGTCTGCGGTTGTTTTATTGCCACATGACTTTTTATGATAAATTTACTGATTAAAAATCCAATAGAACAACGGTAAATTCTTTCAAAAGTAATGATTTCTGAAGTTAAATATTTATGGACAAGCTATCAAACGGTGTACCAATATAGCAAGAAATTATGAAAATTTTCGTATACCCGTTGCACTGCACATCGCAGCAGTGATATATAATTTTGAGATTGAATACATAGTTAGCCATGTTAGCAATCAATGCTGAAAAAAATTTCGAGACGAGACGATCCATACGACGGAAAATTCTAACCCTGACCATTAAAGCAAAATGAACAGTATGATATTCTTGGAAATGATCTATACATACTATGATCTGGAAAAAAGTGCATGGAAAGAACAATAAAAAAAAGCAGATTGTTAGACAATAAATCGGTTTTTATTCAACTAATAAACGCACATTTGCACTGATAAGGTTATACTCATATGTGGCGTATATCAAATTTATCGTTTCACACTAAAACATGAAATTTTTTCAGTAATCTGAAACTTCTTGTGTGAAAAACAGTTTTCCTTTTTAACAACCGATAAATATCGATGTCGAGAAATGTTTCTCTACTGATTTATTTAATCAATTTTCAAATACTCATTTGAAATGAAGCGTGTCACAAAAGTCACTGATGATGATCAAATTTATATATTTGTCATTTTTTGACCAAATCGATTAATTTTTGTGGCTTGGCAGATAAATGTTGAAAGCTTACTTTTTTATAGATACATTTAACGCTAATTACGTACCAGTTAGATCTGATATAATTTGTCAAAATTCAAACATGTATCTTCTCCATTCATAGCAGGATAGAAGTCTTAATTCTTAACTTCTTAAGGGTGCCTCCACTCCTCTCTCTCTTGGAAATCGGGGAAGCCGATGTTTGATCGAGGTGAAATTTATATCAGAATTAGAACATCGAAAAAGAAAATCGAAGTATTTTTGCCCAGAATTTACCGACATGTTCTTCTATGAATTTTCTGAAAAACTCTAGTTTTCATCCAGTCGTATTACGACTTCTCCAAAAAATGGTCCGATCGAGCTCAAAATTTTACTACAGATCTCAGGTTCACTTTATTTCTTTTCGAAAAACATGCTCTCCTTCTCGAGATATTCAAAAAATCCTATATAAAAAATCGGTTTTTTCTTTTGAAAACTTTCTCACACCCATAGTTGAAATCGAAAACGCTTTAAAAAGGAAACGAACCTGAAATAGGGTCTAAAGCATCTGTGGTAAAAATTTGATTTCGGTCGGACGATTCTTTCAAGGTGTCTTAATGTGACTGGATTGAATATCGAAAAAACGCATAGTGAGAAAAATACATTGTATACCGGACTCCGCTTTTCAGGGCATTTGTGGTGGTATTTATATCTCCACGAAAACTTATCGAGAAAGTCTGCAAGGCGTCTCATTTTGAAGAGCAAACTTTCTGCTACCAGTCTATGAATCAGAAAAAATTTTGAATATAGAAAATGCTGATTGGATACCAAAAATTCGAGATTAATGGTTCAATTATCAGTGAGCATGTAAAAGAAAAAATGAATGTACTGGAAGAAATCTATACTTAAAAAAGAAAATTGTAGGTGCCTGTAATATCTCAGTTCAAAAAGTCGAAAAGTTCTGTACGTCAATTAATAATGTTCGAAAAGAAACGCTGGATTTACCGGCCACAGTTACTATTGAACTTTCAAATAGAGCAAAAAAAAAATTGTGATCGGTGAGAAAGCAAACTGGTGTCTCAGAAGCCACATATCTCATAGCTCTCTTCCACGTAGGTATTATTCTGTTTTGGATGAATCGAGTTCTTGTGTCCATATCTTTCCCTATATACAGGACTTTTCACTTATTTTATTTGTTCATGATTCTAAAAAAGTCTAGTGTTGATCGAGTTTTCTAGTCAATGATTAATTTTTCTTTAGTCTTTATTGTTCTTCTGTTTCGTTTTAGCTTTTTCTTTCAATTGTAATTCATACTGGCAAGCTTTTAAGCCGAATTTTTCCTTATATTCAACTTCTCTTTCAATGACATTCATATCTGAATCTGGCACATTTGGATTCTGTTTTCGATATTGATCTGATACAGAAGTACGACTATCAAAGACGGTATTAGCTTTACATTTATGAGTGACATATTTCGTCATCAAATCTTGGGAAATACCGATACATTGTGTTGTCTGAAATTTTTCAACGTTCACCGGTCCACGTACAATTTCCGTCGGCTGCAGAGTTTTCCAATCATCGTCGAGCTGAGCACCACCTGTATCATGTTGAAGAACATAGAATGTACCATGACGAATTTCTTCAGCACCATACTTTGGACTAAAAAGCAAACATTCATTGAGAAAGATGGCGATGGGTAAACACGGATATGATTACTCGATTTTTTGGATGAATGTTCGAATAACACTTTTTTCAGCCACAACAATACTGTAGATAATATTTCGTCGATTATTCATCGTTGAGTGTTCCGCCATATCTAAAATATATTCTTTAAATTTCTGAAATTGATCAAGACCAGAGCGTGGTTTCTCGTCAAAATATTCTGTATCACGTCGATTATCTTCCAGGTGAATACCAGAGATGCCACGACGTTCAAGTTGATAAACTAGTGCATTTGAAGTTAGTATACATTGTTGGTCATTCAGAGATGTCCATCGTTGAATAGGCAATGTTGGTTTACCTTTGATTCTAATACGTTCGATCATATCATCACCTATTACTTTGGCTGTCTGTCGTATTTGTTCAACACCAGCATCTAATAATTTGAATAAATCTCTATTTTTCACGGGACAATAATGCAGCGCATTCCGAACTAAATAGATTATATGTAAAGATGGAAAATCTTTGTTGTGTGCCAATGATGATGGTATACAATGGATAAATATTGTGGTTAAGACAAAAAAAGACGAAGAAAGATGAAGAAACATTCGCGAGATTATGTTAAATGCTGTAACAAACTCATCATTTTCAGAAACATTGTTACATAATATTCACAATTCAATTAGCACTCTTATGCATAGATACAGCGCAACGAAGTAGTTCATCTTCTAAAGCTTCAGAATATTATTCGACTTTCATTTGAGACACATGATGGTGGAAGAATATGCGAATTTGTCAATACTAGAGTATGCTTAGTAGTAATAATCACGCAACGCTGTGTATCTGAGAATCTTAGACATTATAGCTCGGAATTTAGTTGAATTTCCAATTCTCATTACAATGCGCAACGAATCTTTGTTGTCTAAAACTGAATTATGGATCATTCAGGGAGTGCCCTATTTTTATCGACGCCGATGCGTATGTCAGTGGTGACAGTTTATAGAAACCAGTAACAAAGGAACACTTTAGTGCGGATTCTTTATATATCTGATGTATTTGGAACAGAAAAAAATAAAAAACTGACGGTTCAAGTACTAATTCACCTAAACAAGATTCGTAGACAAACTCATCCTCAACGAATCTTCGCCATCTACGATTCTTTTATCCTTCCTTTAACGGATTGAACATCTTCACGAGGTATTGAAAATAACTGGACTTTTTTGGTTGCACTACTTCAAATGAACCGGGATCAGTAAGAGCCCAGAGAACTGACACTGGTACCGAAGTACCACTTAAGGGGATATGATGGCCTAATTCCAGTTTCTGTCCTTTAAAAACCAACTAAATTCACAGACTGAATTAGATGAAAAGTCCATCTTTATAGCTAATCCACTCAATAGTATCTTTAGTGCCGTTAAGCACACCGAGCGCTGGCGTGCGCAAGAATATTTCTAAGTCCGTTTCGTTTAACTAAAGTGCAAATGTCAATGTGTTTCTGCTAGAAATTTGCCACAATATGCAAATTTTCTCCCTCTTTTCGATGACAATGTCGAAAGAACGGAAAAGCTGTAGAACAGGTCTCTAGAGGGTCTCCGGAAAATCTTTTAAGGTCGCGTTAGGGAAAAAAAACAACACTTCACTACACTACACCACACTTTTTCCACTACCGTAGTGACCTTGTAGTGACTTTGTAGTGGTAACGGGTATTGCATGGGAGGAAGCAATAGATACCCTTCTAGGTCAATTTCGAAGGCCATGTTTCTGCTTTACAGATTAATGTACTGATATGACACATAATCATCATTTAAAATATAAAAGCTTTCTCCTAGACATACACAGAGCTATCAAATCGTTAAGTGGTGACAGTTTTATTGTATGATGTAAGAAAAGGAAAACAACGTATTGCTGGCTAGCACAGAATTTCAGACGACTGTCTGTCATGTGAAAAATATGCAAAACGAATCCAGCAAATGTTCAACAGGACTGGAAAACCCATATAAATTAGATGTTATTCGATAGCAGTTTTTTTGTCAATTTCCAAATTTAATTGAATGTTAGCTTCTTCTCACCATCATTTTGTTGTTGCATCAACGACCATACTTAGAACAAGAGCTTTATACGCTCTGTACATTAATAGACTCTACGGATCCATTGTCAGATGTAGCAAAAGCAGAAATTTTAAGTGATAAAACACGTAAATTACTGTGTGGTAATACTACACGTAAGATCATTGAAATGTTATCAACACAAATTGAACGTTGTGACATTAAATTATGTATTGAATTATATAATTTATTCAATGTGTATCAGTTTTTGATTCAGAAAGACAAGCTACAATATTACAACGAATTGTAAATATTTTTCAAATTTTTGAAGACTTATTAAAGAATATTGAATTTCCTCAAACATACATTTCTCCTACATAACAACTTTGGTATCAAACACGAATGTTAATTCGTAAAATAAATTCATTTAGTCTTGTTAAATTCATTTAGTCAACTTGTTGTTGTTGTTTAATCTTGTTTACCTTCATTTCGAACAATTTAGTCGAATAATTAATCGAAGTTCGCTTATTCAATTTTATCATCTTTTACAACAATTATCTGATAAAGTTGGACGACGAAGTAGTGGATTTGCAATTCAACATACGTTAAAAAAGCCACTTATTACACAAGTAGTAAATTTACAAAACATTTTATCAAAAATTATAACTTTTCAGGATAAATTTTATCAATTAATTCAACAAACTCTTAATCAACTTTTAATAGTTGCCGGTTGGTGTGCAGTTATGTGGAAAAGTACTATTAACACATTGTAACAACAGATGAATGTTTATGCATTAATACAGAAAAAAGTTTATTATCAATCGCACAGCTTCAAATATGGGATATAAAATTACCAATGTAGGAATGTTTACTAGAAGCTATAGAAAAGCTTGAAAGAACAGCATTTGCAATTGAATTAAATGATTCAATTCGTTTTGATGAATGTAAGAAGTCAATTCAATTGATACGAAACGTTTTTCAAACAGATTATTTGAAGAATATTCAACGACAATGAATGGCAAAAAAGTTCAAACACATGCACAATGATGTGGATGGTTACAAAAATAAAGCTAGATTCATCAGCCGGACATCTCATTCCACTAGAATATGCTTTGAATGAAAGCTCCAGAATATTTTTGGAAAATATTGAATCAAATGAAATTGATAGTTCAGTTTCACTGATATGGATTGGACTATTTTTTACATCCATAGCTAAAAGTATGCTTAGTAGGGTTTATGTACGTATTATAAACCCTAATTTGAAAAATCTTCAAGAAATAAATAATGAAGAATTCACAAATTGTGTTTTAGAAAAAGATGATGGACTTGATCTTAAATTTTGTATTGATACAGCATCATTTGAATCGACAATTGCATTAAGCATTACAAATTTTAATAAATCAAAGAAAGAAGCCAATCAAGTTTCAACAAATCTTTCAAAAATATTTTCATTTCTTTCTGAAATTGATAAATTCTTTGTGAAGTGATTGTTTGAATATCAAATGTATGCAAATTTCATTTAAAAGATGCAATTGCTGTTAACATAATTGAAATTTTTTCTTTTAAAACATCTGGAGACGTTTCTAGTAATAAATCTTGATCTAAAATTGGTAATTGAAATTCTTTTTGTGAAATAGAAGCTCCTCCTACTTTAAATGGTTTACTAAGAATATTAAGTAACCGAGAAGGATCATCAATATTCGGTAGCAAACAACTTCAAGTTGTTTTTAGATCAAGATTTATTACTAGAAACGTCTCCAGAT